GTACGACTTCAGCAGGAATTTGTTCTCAAATTCGTTGCGCGAAGGGGATAGTTGTGCTGGAACGACCTGTTGGCTGCATCAGGCACAGGAACCTGTTTGTCATCACTCTTCATCTATCAACAGTCCTATTCATGACGACCTGCTTCACGATCCTTTACACCAAGTCACAAAGAAACACTAGCTGACAATTTCACAGAATAATAGCAAACATGTCAGACAAGCTACAATCAAACCCGAGCGACGATATCCAGCCCCAGGCGAACTCTGCCGAAGCTGAGATGTCTAATAAGGGTCAATTATCTTCAGAAGGGGGAGCGAGCTCCAAGAAAGGTCGTGGTCTCCTTAAGGTCCCATCAAGATCATCATCACAGCGGAACCAATCGTCACCAACATCTACGGGGTTGAGTGGGGCTACAGTCAGCGATTCCCGGAACAGCATCGGCAGTCGATCGAAAGACTCCAAAGGTAGCCTTCGTGCGCGACGACGAAACGGAAGCACTTCAAGCAACAGGACAGGCGGCGAAACTGAACCCACAAACACTCCTGCAAACACCCAGCCAAACTCTCCTGTCGCCCCCGCCCAGAAGAAGAAGAGCCGTGGTGGCCTGTTGGCTTTTCTTGGATGTTGTGGTACCCCCGAGGGCCCAGCTGGAAACGAAGATAACAACGAAAACGTGCACAAGCTTGATGTCCTACCTCCGCGCCCAACTTCCGCAAGGTCACGAACCAACACTCCCCAGGAACAGCCCAGACCAGCCTCCCAGAGAGAACCTCAAACAACTGTATCTGCACCAGAGCCAAAGGACGAGGCTACCTCGTCAGGCTCAGCCAACAACGAAACCACAGCGACAGAGCAAGCCAACAGGGAATCGAAGCAATCGATTCCCCCTGCAGTTACAGTGGAGCCCCCCAAGGCGACACCCACAGAAGAGGAGCCAAAGGTGGCAGACAAGACGGCTAATGATGGTGATGTGAACATGCAAGATGCTGCCACTGAAGAGCCAGAAGAGACACCATTGGCCCCTGCAGTCGAAGCCCCAGCTCAAAGGACGATACCACCTCCCCCCCCACCCCCAGGTCCTGGCCCGGCTGTCGTGGCACCCAGCCAATTCACAGACGCTGGCCCATCAGCACCCGAACCTCAGAAGTGGTTATTGCCTCCTATTGCCCCGGAGCACAAGGGCCGAAAATGTCTTGTTCTCGATCTTGACGAGACTCTTGTCCACAGTTCTTTCAAGGTATGCATACTTGGAGTCGAGGTGGATCATGGGATATGCGCTAATTATCATGCAGATCTTACATCAGGCCGATTTCACAATCCCTGTCGAGATTGAGGGCAACTACCATAATGTCTACGTGATCAAGCGACCCGGTGTCGACGAATTCATGAAGCGAGTCGGTGAACTCTACGAAGTTGTTGTCTTTACAGCATCTGTTTCCAAGGTGAGTCTGCCCAATCGCAGATGATAAATGAGCAAACTAACAATCTGCAGTATGGTGACCCGTTATTGGATCAGCTTGACATCCACAAGGTCGTTCATCATAGACTATTCCGTGAGAGTTGCTACAACCATCAAGGAAACTATGTCAAGGACCTGTCCCAAGTTGGACGTGACCTGAAGGATACCATCATCATTGACAATTCGCCCACCTCATACATCTTCCACCCACAGCACGCCGTCCCTATCAGCAGTTGGTTCTCTGATGCGCACGACAACGAGCTACTAGACCTGATACCCGTTCTCGAGGACTTGGCAGGGCCCAACGTGGCCGACGTCAGCCTTGTCCTCGACGTCACTCTCTGAAGCATGAACCTTTCATAAAACAGCTTTTTTTTACTTTATTAAAAACGCTTTTCAACGATTCGAACTACAACCCTTGATCTGCAGAGTTGCCATCATAGCGGAAGGCGTTTGGTTGAGAGCTTTCGTTTCCTGGTGTAGATGTACTATTGTCTAATCATACATAATTGAGCGGGTGGCACGAAACGAAACGAAACGGACCTTACCATTACGCTCCAATTTCCCTTTATACAAAAGATACCTGGCGGTCTTTGGTCGACATCAGCACAGAGGCCTCTTGAAGTAGGCTTTACCATTACATCTCACAGATTCGAAGCACAAAAGATGGATCAGCATCAGGAGAGGCAACGGGACACATATCAGGGGCTCTTCATGTCCAGGGACGGAGAGGAATGATGGGTGGGACGTTGTGTGCAGTATACGCTGGGCTGGGCAGGACTGAAGCAACAGGAAGTCTCACTAAGAAGAGCCAAAAACCTGCCTGTCTTACCACCTCCTGGGGATGATTGAGCTGGGGGAGGAACTGGACAAGTGGAGTGTATGGATGACGCGCCTTCGATGCGCGGGATGTTTTTTGTTATCTTGATTCCCTTTGTCTTATGGTTTCTGTCTTTGTTACCGCTTCTTATTCTTCATCTTGTCGTTGTTGCTTATTTTCTTGATTATACACCACCCCCTGATACATTCATATCGAGTCTGCGAGCGGACTCGGAAGCGAGCAAGAGAGCGTTTGTCGTTGATATCCAATCCGCCTGACCAAATGATAGGATCGACAGGTGTAGAGGCTACAGCCATCTCTCCCATACATAGTCTCACTAAATTGTAAAATTTCTTAACAACCAAAAAAACAAGAAAATTGATGGTGGCTTTTTTGAATTGCATAAATCACATGTTTTCCTCTCAAAGCTTGACTTGGATTGGCAAACTATCGCATGGTCACAAAGGTAACTTAACTTAGCTTGCAGTGGAGCTTACAGCTCATATTGTGGAGAGAGCTGTCCCCTGTGGTGACTGGTCCCTGACCTGACCTAACCAACGTTAGAACCTAAAAGGCTGGAGCTCTCTCTAACAAACGCCACCGGAAAATCATAGCACCGCGTCCCCTTCTTTCTGGTGAAGGTGGCCTCAACTAACTCCCTAAACAGGGTGCTCCATTTACGGGGGGGGATTGCACAACACCTCCATTAATTTAGTCCCCGTGTCGTCTCTCGATCTTGGTTCCATCAACGTCCAACTTCGTACCCAAACCAAACCATCCTCTCCTTTATTTCTCTCCTTCGCGCCTTAGGTTCTTGGAATCCTGCAGTGGTTCCTTTGTCAAGTCTCCTTCTCTAGGTTTAATTCTTCAACAATGGTACGCCTGCTTTACTCCCAAGACTTCAATTGAAGCTACTGTCGCATTGCGACTGAGCTTGAATCTTTGACTCAGGAACATCAATTTGCTAACATGTTCTCTTCTTAGTCTTCTCCTCGTCCTTCTTCTCCCGTCAACGGCGGCGCTGCTGCCAGCGGTGCTAACATCGGCCGTCCCTCATCGCCTTCTATCCCTGGTGGTCCCCGTACTGCTATCCGACGACGCGCTGCTGCCGACCAGAAGGAGAAGATTGCCAATACTCGACCTAGCAGCACTCGCGCCGCTGGCGCCGGTGGTTCCAGCAGCACCATGCTGCGTACGTTGCCCCATCCCATGTCTCGATAATTGGGACACAAAAGGCCATCGGATGACTGTGCTAACATGCTCGACAGGACTTTACACCGATGAGTCGCCCGGTCTGAAGGTCGACCCTGTTGTCGTTCTCGTTCTGTCCCTTGTCTTCATCTTCAGCGTCGTTGCTCTTCACAGTACTACACCCCTCTACCCCCCCACTGATGTCAATTGTGTGTGCTAACTCTGTTTCAGTTATCGCCAAGATTACCCGAAAGTTCTCCAGCTAAATTGCGCCACGATAAAGGGAAAACTCGAAGAGAAGAGGGGGAGATGATTTTTTATGGAGTAGGACCTCTCACAGACGAGAGGATGCGCCATCTGCAATGGGGTTAATACGGCCACACTGGAAATTTTGTTTGTTGTATTGCGGTTTATGAGGGGAGCCTTTGTATTATATCTCGGGAAAAAGGGTCCGAACCGACAATATGGACTTTGACTGTTTTGACGCAAGAGAAGGAGGCCTCCCCTGATTGTACGTGATGTATGCTGAACATTTGACGTATTATGCGGTGCCGTTCAAATCACAGAACCTCAGCGAGGGCTATACCGTCGACAATTCTGTAACTGACATGCCATTTGCTGAAGGGGTAAAAAGCTCTATTATGGTAAATCATCTCTCTTAAAGTGGCTCTCGTAGACCCGAAGTTGACCAACAGTTACCAACAAGCTGCCTCAGACTGCCCATCCTGCGTAGATTTTCTTCAGGGTTTCAATTATATCAAGATTAAAGTTACCTTGTAGTATTAATGGTCCGGAATGTACTTAATCATCAATTCGAATTATATTTCAATCGTTGGTGTGGACATAACTACCGTCTGAGGTGGCCGGAGTAATGGTGAAGTACAAGAATTGGCATATCAACATTTAAATCAGGGTAAGTTCGGCTTTGTGATTAATGAAGCAAAAGTGCCTGGGATGGCGCAGCTGGAAGTAAACCTGTTGATCAATGCCATTAAGACTTGCAGGTCTATTCAGAGACTTAAATCATTGTTGATATATCTATGCCTGAATGAGCCCATGACATTTTGGTACAGCGTTTTCTGTACCATCATCTTCAATGTAATACATGTCTTGTCCATGAAAAAAGCCAAGTATATGGTGTTGATGCGACATATGACTCAAATATGGTCACACCACAATACTAAATCCAGCATTCAAAGAGAAAGCCCTCCTTTGGTGTGAAGTCTCAAAAGATCACATAGTTGCTGTCTTGAACTTCAACATTCAGCTGAACAAGGCTGATTAGTAGACAGAGACTGGCTCGGCAGGTCAGTAAATATGTTGAATCCCATCACAAGACCAAGCAGCAAGATAAACAGAGTTCGGGATTACTCGAGATCTATTCTCTATAAAAAGGCCAAAGAATCCGATGTTAAACGCCTAGACCACTCAAAAGGGGGGAGAGTGGCCACAGTTCCCTCTCCGACGGCACCTATGTCACCGATAACCCGGCGGACTAGTCTGTTGGTAAACTTAAGGCAAATCCCGTTCTAGCGGTTGAAATTGATGGGGGCGTTGGTGTTCTGGTCACCTTGAGCTAGGATTTGTTGGACGAGTCTGTGGGTTGCTTCGACACTTGCGGCAACTCGACTCAAGGACGACTCAAGGCGGCTGAACGGACACTGGGGGTAGTTGTTATAAGGCCCAGGGCCAAGGTGAGAGATACCATGGAAAGGGTGCCCCTGGGGATTCATGATGCCACCTGCTGGGACACTTTGGAAGCCCCGGGGATACTGAGCAGCAGCAAAGCTTCCGGGAACAGACATGCCCTGGGGAGCAGCCATATAGTGCTGCCCAGGTTGGATAGAGTGCGTAGGAGCGGTTGAAAAGGGTTGCATACTACCAACAGGAGGCATGTTGCCAGAAGGAGTAGGCTGGAGTTCCTCAGAAACGCTCTGCGATCCTTCATTAGGAGCAACACTAGGCGTCTCCTGGATCGCGGTGAGAGATGACTTGGCAGCCTCAGCTCTTTGAAGCCATTCGACCTGTGTAGCTCTTTCATCGGCCTTGAGAGAGTCAGCAAACTAAGCATCGTTGGGGATAGGTCTCAAACTCACGCTTTGGCTGTCAACGATGTGGAGGGCAAAGTTCTGGAGCTGCTGTCCGAGTTCAACAGCTTCACCGGCAGGCTGCCAAATTGAATTAGAGAGCATACATAGGTGGAAAAAGAGGGATTGATACGTACAAGTTCGCAGCTACTGCGCATCTGGGCGCAGTCGTAGCAGGCGGAGGCCATCTTGGCTGGTCACAGTAAGTATAGGACAGGCCTTGCATCGACATAGACACAGACAGGGAGACGGAACGAAGGGCGACTTACAAGCTTGAGAGAAACAAACGTGTTCGTGACCTTTGTCGGCCATTCTAGCAATGCATCTTACGCAAGGAGTCTCACGAGGTTGATCCTTGATAACCTTGCGAGGCTTGCGGGTGCGCTTCTTCTTCTTCGTCGGAGGAGAATCATTGCCGATACTGTTACCCTCAGTCTTAGCAGGGCCGGAGACGTTATCAGTACTCTCAGTCTCGAGAATAGCAAGGCTGGATGCCTCCAGGTTCTGCATCTGTTCGAGTCAGCTCGAGGTGATAAGAGGGTCAAGAGGGGAGGACGCACGACTCCGTGGTCCTCACTCTTCTTTCGCTTGGAGCGACTGTTGAGACGAGAAATATCACTCATTGTAGCATTCTGAGACCGAGTCTCACGAAGAGCTTTACTATGTAGGAACAAAAATCGGGGAGTGGATGATGATGAAGGAGGGGGAGACTTGGGACCCAGGAGAAATAAAGATCCCCCATCTACTAGTTAATTTGGCCTGCCAGATTGCCATCACTGCCAAACACCGAATAAATACCTTTTACTTGCACAAAAACCTTTTATTCTTTATTTATTTTAGGGCAAACGGGAGTTATTGTCCATCTCGACGTGTACAAGATCACTTCGCCACAATACAGACGATATGTCTCTTACAGTAGAATAACCAGCGTTTGTAGGGACTGCATATGCATATCAATCTTGCTCTTCTGTAAAGGGTAACTTATGGCGTGGTTACAGGCCTCAGATCCACTATGCAGAAGACCCTTCGACACACACTGCCCAATGTCTTCAGCTCTACCGGTTCATACATGCCAATCCAAGGTCTCGTTACATATTGAAGTTAAGTATATGGTAGAAGAGATGCTCAAAATTTGATGTGGCAACTAACATCTACCCAAAAAGTCCAATGAAATACGACAGACGAACGATAGGGGCCCCCCATCCTCAGAGTTGGTCTACACAGTTGGACTGTCCTCTCAGCTCCCTCTGAAGAGCCTCGATCGTTGAGTGAAGCTCTTCATACTTGTTTTCCAGAGCCCGAATATCCTCAGTGTTTTTCTTACCCTGCTTCTTCCAAGCCTCAAAAGTCCCCCCCATGGCCGGGAGGGCTCTACGCAAGTTCTCTAAGTGAGCCAAAAATCTGGCACTGTGATCCTCAGGCGGAGGACGTCGATATAGGCCCTTCTTCTTGTCAACCTTGGCCTGTTTTCTCAAGTTAGCATCTATAGGAGGTGCATGTGTTATTCTATGGACTTACAGGTCTTTTGACACTGACACCCCCATCCCGAGGAGACTTGGCTACATGGGGCTCTGCGACTGGTTGTCGTGGTCGCTTGAGAGAGACGTCAATACAGAGACTGAACAAACAAGACACTGAAAGTATCTCACTTACCAGTTCGACTCCATACTCCGACATCTTCACTGGTTTGTTGGTAGATTGAAGGATTATTAAGTATGGTATCTATGGTGTAAGTTGGAGAACGAGAGGAGATATTGAAGTTGAGAGAATAACTGACTGGAACGGGAGCCATGATACATATACTTCTTTTGCTGGCCATGTCCTCAAGTTATTGGAGACAGGGGAATGACACATGGTGAGTTACTAAGTTAGTATATGCACGTCGACTGGGTGCTTGCATATCTGCCATCATCAAACCAAGCCAGACGCACGCATACACTAACGCGATTGTCTGCACAAAATAGGACACATAGTTAGAAGCAGCACGATTCATTTGTTTGTGCCTAATGCGGGTATCCTAGTTTGCTGCAGGTTTGTCGAATTCACATCACATCGTGCGCCTGTTGCGTTTACCACCTCATCTTCCCGATGGGCCTGATGCATCTCCCCGATTCATCTTCAAACTCTCCTCCATTGCCCGCTTCAACTCCTCGTCATCATCATCATCCCCGTTGCCACCTGATGCACCCTTCCCCTTTGCAATTTGTTTTCTATACTCTTCCTCCGCCAAGCTCTGTCGCTTGACGTACTCCATGACGATGTCTTCTTCAGACCGCTGATTGCTTTCCTGTTCCATAGCTTCTTTCGACGCTGCAATGGCCCGTTCTAGCTCATCGTCATCTTCTTCCCTCGGTGGGAGCGGCGGCGGAGGTTGATTCCTCGAGGCCTCAATGGCTCGCTTGAGCTCCGCATCGTCTTCCTGGGTGGAGGTCTGGGCGGGAGACTGAGACACAGTATCCGTTGCGTCAAGCTCTGGCACATCAGAATAGTCGGGCAACGGCACATCGTTAGCTAGACTCTGCTGGATCGCCTGCTCGACAAGAGCTTGATACTCCTCGTCCGTAATTTGATAGTCGGCATCTTCGAAAATGGACGGATCCTTTAGAGGAAGAGGGCCTGCCTCGCTTGATCCAACCTGTTGCCGAACAGCCTTGATGCTCTCACGGATAGCTGCCTCCACATGGGCGTCTTCCTCACTGTCGCCACGCGATGTCTCACGCACTGACGCCCGAATGGCCTTTTCAAGCTCGGGATCCTCAGATGAGCTCGTTTGTATACTTGCAGTATCACTTGCGTTTGATTGTGGGACAGGCGCGTCCAGGAATCCCTTCTTCCATGCATCCTTGTCGGCGTGAAGTTTCTTTCGTTCTTCAAAAGACATATTCTTAGTCTGTCTCCATCCTGTACGTGGTCGCTCAAACCCAGACTCTGAGCTGTCAAGACGGGGCTCTTCAGGGCGCTTTCCTGCAACCTTTTCCTTTCTCTTCCACTGATAGAAGTTCTTGAGGTCGAACTTGACGTTGTTCCATCTTTGAACAACATCTTCTCTTTCGCCCGGTGTTGCCTCGTAAATCTCGTGCTGACCTTGAATAGCTCGTGACGAAGTAATATAGTTCTGGACGCTTTTGGCAAAGTACTTGGAGACCTCTGCATTCACACCCTGCATGGTGTAAGCTGGGATAGCCCAGAAACCTGTTTTATGTCAGTACAACATTCCCAACCTTTCGGCAACAAACTTACCGGCTGCAGGCTTCGCAATCAGGCCTCCGATACCCTTGCCAAAGCCTTTGACCAGCCCCTGGACTCCCTCCTTCTCGGCACCTTTCAAAGGCTGTGTTACCAGGCCAGTAATGCCATCAAACAGGCCATAGCCAAACTCCTTGCCTGCGACTACAACTCCGGAGCCAACTCCCGTTACCTTTTCGACCGGACGAATAGTATCATCATTATACAGCTTTGGCATGTTTCTGAAACCTCTGGCTAATCCAAGGCAGAAGTTCATTGGTGTTCTGGCACCAGTGGTCACAACCCGGCCAACTCCCTTTCCAGTTCCGACGGCTGCATTAACGTAGTTGACGGAAGATCCACGACGTTGTTGCTGCTGCTGCTTGCTAACCGCTTCTTTGATCTGCTCTTTCCAAGATTTGTCATTGACCGATCCTTGGGTACTTGATTGGTCTGGAGACCAAGGACGAGAGGTGCTAGATGCTGTGTCACTCAGTGTTGGCTGTGAGGCATTGGAGTGAGCAGTAGTAGAAGCGGTGGAGCCCAAAGTTTCTGTGTCTGCAATACTAGGTGCAGGTGTTGATCTTTTCTCCGACTCATTGCCCTGAGGTGCGGGGAGTGACGTCTCGCTTCCCGATGCCAGAGGGGTTGCGGCATCCTGTGCTTCTCCTGCTGCTGAGATTTTCTTCTTGGGCTGCGACATGCTCTTGAAAAGCTCTCTGGGCATATCGGCGATTGCCATTCCGATCCCTCCTATATCAGTGACAAGTGACAATGTGCAAGCAGAGATTGGGTCAGTCGGCTGTTCTTCCGTGTTGTACTCTGTCATACGGTATCTGTCCATGTTAGCACAACCCTAGCAGTTTTATATCTCGACTTACAGTTTAAGGTCAGACCATTGCAGTAAGCCTTGCTCAACCAACACTGCAGCCGCAAACGCACTCAGCCTTACTTGGCTTCTCCTTACGCGCCATGCCGCAGCTCGGCTTGGAGCCAAAGTACAACGCAACTTGTCCGTGTCCAGATGATCGTGGAAGCTCTTACCACCAACGTCAGTTCCTCGTTCTTCTCGGATTTTCTGGCCCAGAATCTTGGCTTGCTCCAGAGTTTCCGGTTTGACACAGAAGTTGATTGCTTCTGCAAGCTTCTCTGCTGTCAGTTGTTTGTAAGGGATGGGGTCGGGTCCAGCATTGGCTCTCGCTATCATAGCACCCCAAAATGGTTGATCACCGAAGAAGGGGACCACAAGAGTAGGCTTTCCGGCCTTGATACCAGCGGCAGTGGTGCCAGCACCACCGTGATGTACCACACATGAGACGTGCTCAAATAGCCAGTCGTGAGGAACATTGCCAAGCATAAACACGCCATCAGGTTTACCAAGGTCATCAGCACCAAGTCCACCCCAGCCCTTGGAGACCAATGCCCTGACGCCTGAAAGTTTGACCGCCTCAAAGATCATCGCGGTCATGGCGTTAGGGTCATCGACAACAATAGATCCGAATCCGATGTAAACAGGGGGCGGGCCATCTCGGAGGAATGCTTCCAAGTCTGGATCAGGGGTGAACGAGGAAGCAAGGTTGAGAAAATAAAAGCCAGCAATGTCTATATGTCGTCCCCAATCGTTGGGCTTGGGAATCAATGCCGGTGACCTGTACCAAGTTAGATATAGTCCCGAAATGTGCTAGAAGAACTGACCAGCAATATGTCCAAGAGATCTTGAGTCTTGCGAGAAGTCCAGGCGCCCAGATTAGTGAAAGTGGGGGGAGATCGAGTGCCTTCTCCCGGAACCTGTTGATGACATCTCCCAACCCCTGCCATGTCATCATCTCGACTAGTGTGTACGACATATAGTTCGTCATCACGTCGTCTGTATTTGATGACTGGATATTTGCCAAAGGGTGAGGGAAGGCTCGTGTTGGGGACCAAGGCATGCTAAAGCGGTGATCAGTGTTCAACATCATTGCATCAAGGAAAGAAACTCACGTAAACATCATGTGCACCGGGATACCCAACTTTTCAGCAATATGAACGTGAGCAAAGCTAGGAGGGTTCGCGATGAGAGCATCGGCAACAAATGGCTCTTGACCAGGTCCGCCTGATACCTCCAAAGATACGTCCAATGGAGCATTTGAGGCATGCGGTTTTGGAGGCGGACCGAGACCGTCTCCTCCTTCGATACAAGATCGCCAACACCCCATAAGAATTTCTTGAATACCTTTTCGGCGTTTGCTTACTTCGCCACTTGTGATGGCGTCAAAACCAGGCATGAGACCGGGGTGTTTGACCATGAATGCCATCAGTTCGGCAGGGTCGCCACCGATACTGAAGAACTCGAGACCATTCTCCTCAACAAAGGATTGGAAAGTAGGATGAGTAGCGATTCGGACTCTGTGTCCGTAAGTTTCCTTGAGAACCTTTCCCAAAGCGACAAAGGGTTGAACGTCTCCGCGGGATCCCACGATCTGGACGACGACATTGAGTTTGGGTGGTGGTGTTTGTCCAGGTAGACCTCCCAGGCTGGGAGGGATATATGCAGGAGGAAGGTCTGGCTGTTCAGGCTCAGGTGCAAGTTGACCTTGAAGCGTTGGAGCAAGAAGGTCTGTGAGCCTCCTGTTCTTAGCATTAATATTAATATTGACTCGACCATCGCCTAGAGAATGACGCGAGTTAGTTTATACAAGCCTCATATGTAGATATGTCTGGTATGTACCGGTTATCGCTGCACCAGCGTCAAACCCAGGCTGTGAGAAATGAACCTGATCATGGTTCTCTCCATAAGGGGGTGGTGCTCCATCTCCCTTAGCAGGGTTGATATCCGGTAACTGAAGGTCGTCTGAGGCTACAGCCCCTGTGTTGTTTGTGTTATCGCCATCGCGGGGTTGATGCTGCCGACCCGCAGCAGCAGCTTTTTCATCGACAATGCCTGCCATGGGAGCTGCTCACAGGTATTGAGGGGTTTGAGAGGAGGTCTAAGTTTGGATAATCATTCGATAGTGCATAGTGAGTCTTGTAGGTACTAGTTATAGATAATGCGATAAAGATGAAAGAGGTCGGCGGTTAGCTTAGTGGTTGATGTTAGTGGGGGAGGGAAGTTGAAACAACGACGTCAGCGGATACGAATCAGGAACAAGGCAAGGATGTTAAGCTCTAATACTAAGCCACACGAGACCTAAATAAGCTGCGCTTGAATGATGCCTATTATGGTAAATTAATCGATCAATTTTGTTTCTCGGACTCGCATTTGGTGAGAGTGATTAATTGCTGTTAGCAATGAGATTACTCTTTCACTTACGCAAGCTGTGGAACACGAGATCAATCGCGCCCGAATAGGACCTATATAGGCCTAATGATTGTGATTCTGCCCCGTACGGAGCAGGTAAGTAATCTTACAGCATCGTCCGTGTGTAAGATAGAATACGACGGGAATAAGACCCTGTCGATCAAGGGATAGC